CACCCGTTCATCTTTCTCGTAGGTTAAGGCATTGCAAAGTTCTCCTGCAGCACCATGTTTGAACATGTATTTTTCTTCCGGTCAGCTTTCTTCACCTTGCAGCTTGCACACATAGTGATATACAGTGTTTGGGAATACTATACCATGGATGATCTCAGTCTTGGTCTTCAGCGAAACCGACATGCACTAGCAGATCTTTTCAAGTTCCTCTATTACTGCCCTTCCAAGTCTTCTTCTAATTCCTTGCTGTGTTCTACTAGCCAATTTACATATGCAATATGACCTCAAGAGCCTCTTACTCTTTGGAATTCAGCTTAAGTATCAGGCATTTCTTGCTCAATGCAGGTTTTGATGTTCCAGGTGGCTTTTGACGATTCAAGTCACAACTTGCGGTGTTGGCCAAACCTAGGGAGTGCATGTTATTGGCATGGTTAACAAACCACCCTGAACCCATGGGCTGTTTTAGGGTTGTGAATGGTTTGTTATCCATGCCAACAACCCACTGTCAGTGGCTCTGGACAACACAACAAGCCCTGGTCACAACATGAATATTCAAAATGGCTACTTGCAAGCATCATGGGATGCCCCGAGTTCTAGCCTTATGAGAAAGCAATCACAACGTCTCCACATACACTTTCTCCACACCACACACCATTATCATGTCTCCCCTTACCTTTTCCTAAGCCAAACAATCCCAGCTGTTGTAACCCCTTGATCCTTTGAGCTGCCCTTTTCTGCACTTCTTCCTACACTACAATATTCTTTTTTTTGGCCGGTTGACCAGAACTGTACATGGTATTCTAAAGACGTCACACCCGAGATTTATAGAAGTCAGAATGATGTTGGCAGTTTTATTTTCAGTTCCTTTATAATTATGCCTTACATGGAGTTTGCCTTTTTCACAGCAGCCATGCACTCGGTCTTGCTAAATGACTGATTTTACTCACAAGCTACATCTGAGAAAACAGAAATTATGTGTTTGATCTCACAGGAGCAGAAATGGTGTTGTGATCCCATCTAACAAGTAGTCATTTAAAATTCCATGTGAAGTCCTACATTATTTTCCTCCTCTTAAAAAAAAAAAAAAAAAGCTGTCAACTCCGTGTAGGGAAAGCATTTTGTTAGAAGTGTCAAAGAAATGATGGATGCTAAAGATATTGACTCTGCTACCTTATCACCAGTGCGACTACTACACGATTCTTCTTGTGTTTTATCGTGTTCGAACAAGAAAGATGTTAATTCAAAGAGTGGAGGTTTAATGAGGGTAAAAAAAAAATTAATCCGTAAAGCAATATATTTGTCTGAAATAACATATTGGCGACATTAATCTTAAACTGTCAAATCCTTCTTGAGTTATGTCTCAGCGTTTGGCCTTCAAAGAGGATGACATTTTGTTAAGGAGTCCTGAGGTAAACTGCCCTTTCATGATAGCCAAATAGCTTCCAAAGATGGATTTGCAAAATCTGCAAGAGTGTAGCATAAACGATGGCTTTCCCAACCCTTTGAAAAATGTTTTGGCATTCAAAAACTTGAGCAGTCATCTGTTACCTTTGCAAAGGCCCGTTCTCTGAAGAGACACTGTGTGATACAACTGGCCAACGTGGAGGCCTGAGGAGGTATTATGGGCTGGCTGCAGACAATGTGGATCCCCCTGGCATTTTGGGGGCAATGAGTCTATTCAAATGTTCGGGGTGTTGTGGGTGCTTTCACACAATGGCTGCTCATAGCAGCTGAACACCCATTTCTTAGAAGACAAACTGATGAGGTTTAAAGAAATGGGACACACAAAGAGCCTAACTATAGGGCAAATATGGGCAACCCAGGAGGACTTTTAGCAGGGGCCGTATTTTCAAGTATGCCAAGACTTTATCTCTAATTATATCGACTCTGGCCACTAATTCATTCCCATGGAGGTTGCCAGGGATGGCTCTTTGACCCCATCTCGATGGCTATAAGGCCTCCTTACTCTCCTTTGCCCTTGGCAATGAAGGCCTTGATTGTGGCCATCCTTTAAGCTTCTCACTACCATTCCCATGTGGCTGCCTAGCTTGTGGACAGATGACCAATATAATGACAGTGCACCAGTGTCTCAACCTCAGTTCAATGGGAAGAGGTCAAAGAGTCCTTTTTGTTGCAACTTGGAGCAAAGCAGTGCATTTACGTGTACATAAATGTGTGTCCCCTAGACAGGGGGGCTTGCTGGGCATCATTCAGAAAGATTTGGGGGTAGGGCAGGAGTTGGCCCTGGGCTTCCAGTTGCCTATACCTGTCCAAGCCAAGCCAGGGCATACAGACACACACAGTAGGCAAAAGGTGGCTCCAAATAACATATTATCAAACTAATAGATGCCACCATCTTGAAGTTTCTAGTCCCTGGATGATGCAGTGAGCACGCCAGGTTCCACTGCTGACTGGAAACCATGTTTTGTGGACTGGTAATCCAGAGACACAGGCTGGACCATGGTGTCCAGCAGCAAACCTGGTGATTATTTACCATTGTTGGTCTGTCGTGTTGTCCGAACCCAGTCATGGTACTTCACTATGGTAAGTTTGGTCTTTAGAAATCACAAGAAGAAACAACGGTTTGTTCTGTGGTTTCTCTGTACTGCCATGGTTTCTCGTGCTGTTTGAATGCAGGGCTGTGGTTTCCGTGGCCTAGTATGCAACTACCGCAGAGTCCCTGGAAAAAGCCGGGACTGGCAGGAGGCACTCTAGCCATCCAGCCTCGATGCATGGATCAATGAGGAAGGGGCGGGTGACATAAGTAGGGGGCAGCGCACCTGGGGATTAAATTTCAGGCATCGTGCCTGATGGGGTAATGTGCCAGAAGCAGGAGGACCAAGTGCGCAAGATGCAAGCCACTCAATTCTCTCTTGGGCAGATTATGGTAATCCCCCTCCCGTATACCACCGTCATCAAGCAGGATTGCTCTCTGGATCAAAGAAAGTCTTTCTGGGAAATCCAACATACGTGAAGTGCATGTGGACTGCTAGCAGAAAATTCCCCACAGCTTTAGGAAAGGTACAATTTTCAGGTGGGCCTGGGAGCCAAGCCGGTATAACACTGATGTACCTGAAATGTACACGTCATAGAAATCAGCAGTCTCTTCTTGCTGACTGGGAAACACGTCCCAATACATTGCATGGGAGTCACTCCCTAGCAGGTATGCTTAGCCGGCAGCCTAAAATGGAGACCCGAACCTTGATGACCAAGAAGGAAGTATCATCACAATCAAGGTCTGAAGTGTCCTCCTCCCGCTGAAAATCACAAGGGTGCAAATCACAGTGCTGAATCCTGACAGATTCACACCTTGCAGAAATAAACTGAATTCTTTCTTAAGTCATCCAGAAGACAATATGAATTTTCCGGCCACTCCTAGAGCTAAACACTGAATGAAGGTGCAATCCTATGCATGCTTAGAAAGGGGGTGGGGGGAAACAACCCTACAGTTCCCACCATGTCCGAGGCGGCAATCTGTAAGACCTACTTAGAGTACTAAAGGGAGGAGGAGTTGTCTGCACGGACATAGGATTGCATACTGTCAGGTAAAAATGGTTAAAACTGGGGTACAAAGTTGCTGAAATCTGACAGCTGGTGGAGGGAAAGACAGTCACATTCATAATTTTTTTGTCACCACACCTAAAAAGTCATCAAAGCCATCTAACGTTAAGGAAGACCACAATTTTCTGCTTTCTTGAGACAGCTGCATTTCTCAATATGACTTGTCGCTGGTGTAAAGGTGGTTTTCTTGGCGTGTGCTTAATATTTAAAACAAATGCAATACAACACTTGGTGATACAAGTGTTTTATACTGACCAAGACTGGGAGAAAATGCACTAGTCTGGCCAGTTATCAGTCCTTCGGTTGCATCATGGAACATCTGAACGACTGTGATTCCCTTATTCCTGCTTTTCAATGCCCAAAGATCCTGCAAGGTTGATTATGGTTTGCTGACATTATGAGGTTGTTCGATTTATTAATTTAATGATTTTTCAATCCACCTTCACAGGATGACTCCTAATCTCAAAACATCAACTTAAAGAAAAACAGAATAAAAAATCACATTAGAAAATACAGAGAAAACAATGGAATCACGTTAAAATCAAGCATTAATAAGTTACAGTAAACTAGCAGTAAAATGTAACGCTAGCGGACAAAAACATTCATTGAAAATTTAGCACCATTGTAGCAGATTGACTTTAAAAAAGTCTTACAAAGTCAACAAGGGGACCAAATGAATTTCTCCAGGGATTCTAAAGATGAGGGTCCCTCAAACAGGCCCTACACTCTCCCTGTGGGAGCTCTCACTGAGGGACCAGCAAACATTAAGCCTTCCATAATTCCCTCCTTCACAATTTTTGCCAAATCAAGGACCCTCCTTTGAAGCTTTCCGAAACAGTAGCTAAGTGTACTACTTATGCCCACATTCCCTGTATAGTTCAAGCACTATACATTCATGAACAAGTGGCATACAAATGCAAAATCTGCGAATGAGTTTGCTAAGGCTACAAAGCAATAATTTCCAGGAAGGCAAAGCTATATCCACCCTTGTTTTGTCCTCCCCCCATGAAATAACCATTCGAAAGAATCCCAAGTAGCAACATGCATTTCAGTGGGTCAACGCTGAGGAAGGCTTCTGCATGAGTTGACCCCGAAGTCGAGTTGCGGGGCGTCCCAGCCGGCTCGGAGCGTCGTTCCTCTCGCGGAGTCATCCTCTTAGTCACGACTTAGTCTTCCAGACGTATAAAAGGCTCGGAAGGTCCTTTCCCAGGCGCGCGAGGCTGGCGGGTCGCCATTGGCCGTTTGCAGCCGGGGGAAGCAACTAGCGCGGCCGAAGGCTGGTCCTCGGAGGGGAGGCGCGGCTCCTCCGCACGCCCGCAGCTCCGCACGGCCCGCGCCTCGTGCGCCCCGGACCCCCGCGGGGAGTCCTCCCGCTCCTCCGCCGGGAGCTGCGATTCCCTTTGTCCTCCTCCTCCTCCTCCTCGGCGGCGCGCTCCGCTTCTGGCAGCCGCGCAAGATCCCTCCCCGTTTGCCGCGGGGGCGCCTCCTCTTGCAGAAGTGCTGCAGAGACCGAGCGGGACCGGGCGCGCGAGCGAGCGAGGCGAGAGGGGGCAGGATGGGGCGCCCGCGGCCGAGCGAGGCCCTCGGCAGCCCGGCTCCGCGGGGCTGGCTGCTCGCGCTGGTTCCGACGCTGCTGCTGCTGCCGCTGCCGCCGCCGCCGCCCCTGCTGCCCGGCGCCCGCGCGGAGGAGGAACCGAGCTGCCGCGGAGCCTTCGACTTGTACTTCGTCCTCGACAAGTGAGTAGGGGCGCCGCGCCGCCGCGTCCCCCGGAGCGCCTGCGGCGTCGCCCCCGGGCCGGGCACGGCTCCTTCTTGCCGGGCCGGGCACCCCGCGGGGGGCGCAGGGCGCCAGAGTGGCGCCGTGGGTAGAGGGCCGGGCTGCGGGATCCGGTCCCCGCTTGGCCGTGAAACTCGCGGGGGGACTCTGGGCCGGCCGTGGCTCTCGGCCTAACCTTCCTTTCCGAGCTGGTTCTTGTGGAAGCGAGGGTTCCTTGCCAGAGGAGGAAAGGCGGGCGAGACACGTTGGTGGTGCCGATGAAGATGGTGATCGCAGCTGGTCCCAAGTTTCCAGCTGGCTTGGAAAGTTTCTCCGAGTTCTCATATTCCTGCTCTCACGTGTTCTGTGTTTGACGTGTTCAGGAGTGAGGGAAAAACGTGTTGTGCATGCTCAGAGGTGCTTTTGATGGTTGTCAGAGGTGTAAGGATTGCCAAAACGGTGGTACAAACCTCCTGTACACAGAATCTACAGACTCTGGGGCTTAAGCCCCCGCTACCACTTTTTGCAAATGATCCTTGGGATGTTTTCATTGTTATTTATTTATTTTGTTACATTTATATCCCACCTTTTATCCTCTTGCAAGGAACCCAAGGCAGTTTCTGTAATCCTTCTCTCCAATTTATGCTCACAACAACCCTGTGAGGTCAGTTAGGCGGAGAGGCAGGGACTCTGGGAGTTTCATGGCTAAGTGGACACTGAAACCTGGGTTTGCTGAGTCCCTGTCCAGCAATCTACTATTCCACACTCTCATTCCCTCCCTTTTCTCTACCAGCTAAAGTAGGATTTAAAAAAAATGCAAATAAGACTAATTGAAGAGGAAGGTATTTTTTGAAGTATTGGTCATATGGTACTATAGCCCCTATGTATTTACTGAAAATACTTATTTAAAACATTATTCATTTAAAACACTGCCTTTTTGCTACTAAGGCTTCAAGGTCGCTTGTGAAATCATGCAAAACAAAAAGGCACACAAACCTAGATAAAAAAAAACAAGCAAACTCTATCTGAGGACGTAACAGCTGAATCTGGGAAACCTGTGCCATGTAGGGTTGGACGGGGAAGACGTGGGAGCCAGCCCGCACCCAGCCATGAAGTTCTGGGGGACTTTGGGCTCCTGACTCTCAGCTTGAGTGAATGCTCAGGGTTGTTATGAGGATAAAATGGAGAAGCAGAGGAGCCTGTATGCCACTTGGAGGAAAGGCTGGTTATGAAATGTGAAGATAAAGTGTGAAAAATACTTTTATCTGGTTGATGGGGATCCATCCTGATCAGGATAGATTCGGGCCCAGTTTTGGGACAGCTTTGGCTGGGGTTGCCAGGAGAGGGGACCTTCTTCAGGAGGTGAGTGCGACCCTGTTACTCTTTCTTATTAAGAGCATAAGGAAAGCCTGCTGGATCAGATCGGAGGTCGCTCTGGCCCGGCAGGCCATGCACACGGTGGCAAACCAGCTGCCCGCAGGCTCCCCACTGCAGGGTACACCAGACTTCCTCTTGCCTAGCTTGTCAGCAACAGGTGCATTCAGGCTGCCACCTCTGGTGAAGGAGGCAGCAGCTAGCCCTGAAGGCTAGTACTCACTGACAGCCTCCTCCCTTGTGAAGCTGCCCGGTCCAGATTGCAGCCATCACCACTTCCTGTGGCAGTGAATTCCATAGTTTGTCTAAATGCTGTGTGAAGAAGTAGTTTCTTTTATCTGAATGTCCCACCAATCAGCTTCACAGGATGATCCTGGGTTCAAGTGTTACAGGAGATGGAGAAAAAGGTCTCCCTCCACTTTCTCCACACTGTGCATTACTTTAAACATCTCTATCGTGTCTCCCCTTCCTCACCGTTTTTCTAAGCTAAACAGTCCTGGGTGTTGTAGCTGTGCCTCGCAGGGGGGCTGCTCCAGCCCCCTGGTCATCTTCGTTGCCCTTCCCGGTACTTTTCCCCACTCAGCTTCATATGGCTTTCGATTTCATTGCCATGGCAGACCATGGATTGCCTTCGCACGCTGGGAGTTGCAGGCTCAGAGGTTTGAAGAAGTCAGGGGCATCTCAAATAGGTTTCAGGTGATGCTGTAGAGGAACGCGGGCATGGCGATCGGGCAGGAAATGAACCTTCAGCTCACCCTGATCTTAAATGTTCAACCTTTCAGAGCTTCATATCTTAAAATCAGCTTTTCCCATTGCATCTTGAAGGCCCCAGGAAGTAGGTGCAAAATATTTCAATCTGGGCAGTCCTGGTTAATAATCTGACTCTTTTGACCGATGGAAATTTGCTAATATTCTTCAGAGACAGTGCTGCGCAATCCATTACTGTAATCCCATATCCAGTGCCCTCCAAACGTGTTGGATTACAACTCCTGTCATTCTTAGCCACTAGAGTCAGGCTGGCCGGAGAAGATGGGAATTGCAGTCGACACATGGAAGCCACCAGGTTGGAATGGCTGCATGAATAGCTGCGGTCAGGTGATTTCTCTTGAAGCCGGAGTGTGGCAGCCAGCACAGGGGGTGAAGCTGGTGACAACAGCCTCTTGCCACGGGTAACATCTGCGCTGCCCTCTGGAGGATTGGAATTGGTAGGAGGGAGGGCAGCTCTACCTCTTCCCAATTGGACTTCTGTAGCACACTCTACGTGGGGCTGCCCTTGAAGATGGTCCGGATACTTCAGATGGTGCAGAATAGAGCTGCCAGGTTGCTGATGGGGACTGGGCATTGTGCTCACATAACTCCAGTCCTCCGGCAGCTTCACTGGCTTCCCATCGCAGTCCAGGCCCAATTCAGGGTGCTGGTTATCACCTATAAAGCCCTTAACGGCTTGGGACCTGGTTACCTAAAGGAATGCCTTCTTCCCTATTTGCCCTCCCACCCCCTGAGATTGGCGGCAGAGGCCCTCCTCCGGGAACCCTCCGTGAAAGATGTTAGGAGACAGAGTACCCGGAGGAGGGCCTTCTCTGCGGTGGCGCCCCACTTATGGAATGCGCTCCCCAGAGAGGTCTGCCTGGCACCGTCGTTATTTGCTTTTCAGCGCCAGGCTAAGACCTTTTTAGTTAAACATTATTTTAATTGTTGATTTTATTTATTGATTTTTACAATTTTTTGCCAGGATGTCGCCAATATTTTGTGTAATTATATCGATTGTATTTAGTTATGATTTGGAAGCCGCCCCAAGGCTTATGCAACTTCTCCAAATAAATAAATAAATAAGTTCTCCAAATAAATAAATAATAAATACCTAGAGTAAGCTGAACTTCACTTCGCTGGGCAGCTGCTCCAGCATCTTCATCTGGCCTGCACTGAGTGCCTGTTTGGTTCACCTTCAGCACAGCCTTGCAGTCGAGGCTGGGAACGCTGTTTGGTCATGTGTGAATGTGCGAGAGAGAGGGAGCAGACCGATTCTCAGTTTTTTAAAATGTTTCATCTTGGAGTGGTGCTTGCTCCAGGCAAATAGCTGGTGAGACGGCTGATGGACGATTCAGGTACCAAAGTACATTGTGGTTGGTTTGCCCATGGTAAGCACTGGCAGACCACTAGTTTCACTGGGGGTTGCTGGTCCCCTCTTCCTGGCACTGTCCCCCTCCTTGCCCCAGCAGTGAGCTTTCTTGTGGCTTCTCTCCCGTTTCAGTTTTCCAGATGGCAAAAGCCATCTGTCAAGCTGGCCCCCTTTCTGGCAGCTGTGAGCAGCTCCTTCGAAGTGTCCCTGCATGGGAACTGAAGTGGTGCACCGGGAGAAGGGGGCAGGGAAGGAGAAAGATGAGGATCTTGCAGCAAAAGTGGTGTCAACCTCCCAAAATGTATTATTGCAGCAAAAACAAACAGGGGGTTGGAAAGCTAATGGCAGTGGGCCATGAGAGGATGTGGGGTTCTGTGGCTTGGCCTTGTGGGATGCGGGTTTGACAGGGTGGAGAGAGAACTTGCTGATGAACAGTGCCAATGCAACAGCAGTCCGGACCTAGAACCGTGTACCCCTGGGGATCTGTGAAGCACCAGGTTTTTGCAGGCCCTCTGGCCTCTTCTGTTGACACCAGCTGCCCTTGGTGCGGCTGTTTCTCCTCCTTGGTGCCGCTTCCTTGCTTCACAGGGAGCCAGAGGGAAAAGGGACTGGAGCATGTGCCTGGCCGCCCTTTGCCAGGAGTCTTGTCTGGGCCTGAGTGTGATGCAGTCTGGACAGGGGTGGTGGGGGACAGTCACGGCTCCTGGAGAGATGTGGGCCTTCCTTGGGGGGCTGCCCATGCATGCCCTTGCTGTGGCCCTGCTGGTAATAGGACAGCCCGCCACATTCCCAAAAGGAAAGTTTGCATGCCGTGAGCAAGGACATTGCATTTGCCTGAAATAGGAGTATCTGTGCTAAAGTGCAACAGTTTAACTTGGAAAGCATGCTTTGAGATCTGTACAAATGGCTCCTTCTCTGTAGCCATTAAACATAGGGAGCTCTGTCTTGTTCTCCCTCCCAGACACACCGTATTTTTCACTCTATAAGACGCACCTGACCATAAGACGCACCTAGTTTTTAGAGGGGGAAAACGAGAAAAAAAAATTCTGGATCAAATGGTTTACTAAACTATTTAATAAACTATAACAGAATACAGTAATACTGTATTTCAACCTTGTAAAGTGAACAGCAGTCAACAGTGATATTAAGAACCATCATCACTGTCATTAATAAAAGAGAGACTTTAAAGTTTGAGTACTCTTCTAGTTTTCGTTGAACCCATAGAACTCATCAACACTAGAGTCAGAATTTATGAAGCTCTGTTGCTCACAATCACTGACATCACTTTCTTGGTCAGTAGTGGAATTATTGAAGGAATCCACAATCTGCACCAGTTATACAAGAGCTGCTGCAGACAATTCAATAACAAATCTAAAAAAGCCAGTAATGTCCACGCTGCCCTACTAGTAAATAATAGAAAAAAACTTCTGACAAAAAATGAGATATTGTACGGTAAATCAAACACACAGCGGACTAAGTAGCCTTTGAAGAATAAACTTCACGAAGGTAATGTTATTCAAATATCCACTGATCCTAAAAAAAAAGTGTCTGATCAACTTACAGATAACTGATCCATGGAAAGCTTCCTGATAATCACAGGAACATTCCCCATCACTTCCCCACGGGCTTCATTAAAAGACAGGTTGCCATTTGAAAACACACACCGACCTGTGATTAACAGCTCTCACCTGTGCCGGAGGAGGGGGGCGGAGCAGGGCGCGTTGGGCGCGTGCTGGCCAGGTGGTGCCATGTGGGGCCGGCAGCGTGCCGGCGGTGGTCTTCCGGGCGGCGTGGCAGTGGCAGGTCTTCCCAGGCGGAGGGGGTGATCAGTTTCCGGGAGGTGGGGGTGAGCCGTCCATCTCTCCGTGCAGCCGGTGGGTTAAAGCCTGCGGCTCCTCCTCCTCCACACCGCTCCCCCTGAGCAGCACAGCTCTCGCCTGCCCCGGGAGGGGGGGGTGGAGCAGTGCGCGCCAAGCGTGTGCCGGCCAGGTGGTGCCACGTGGTGCAGTCGGGCCGGCAGCGTGCCGGTGGTGGTCTTCCGGGCAGCGCGGCGGCGGCGGCAGGTCTTCCCAGGCGGTGGGGGTGAGCAGTCTGTCTCTCCGTGCGGCCGGCAGGTTAAAGCCCGCGGCTCCTCCTCCACACCGCTCCCCCTGAGTGGCACAGCTCTCACCTGCGCCGGGGGTGGGGGGCCGAGCAGGGCGCGCTGAGCGCGTGCCAACCAGGTGGTGCCACGTGGTGCAGGCGGCCAGCAGCGTCCCGGGCGTCAGGCACACACACATTCGCTCTGTAAGATGCACAGACATTTCCCCTTACTTTTGAGGGGGAAAAGTGCATCTTATAGAGCGAAAAATGCGGTACTTAGAAAGGGATGTTCCAGATATAAATGCCTTTCTATCCATGATCTGTATTAGGCTGATAGGTTGCAGTGGGGAAGAGTGTGCTCCGGCTATGAACGATCGGAAGCAGGGCCTTTTTAGTGATTGCTCCAAGCGTTTGTAACAGCCTCCCCCAGCACTAAGGAATTCCAATTCCTTACTCAGGTTTAGAAAGAACTGCAATGCAAAAATTTGTTAGCTGGATTAGAGGTTTGCAAATTAAATCCTAGGAAATAACTCAGCAAGAAATTTAGCACTGTCATTTTAGTGTTCCTTTGGTCACTTGGGCTTTTACTTAATGATTTTTAAAAGTGAACATTATATCTGCTTTATTGTTATCAGCCCCTTTGAGGGGAGGCAAAGCAGCACAACCACTAAATGCATATATCAATAAAAATAATGGTAGATTTAAATGAATGCCTTTGAAAGGAATGATGAAACAAAACTGGAAAAAACTGTAATGCCATTTCAACTTTGTGCTTTCCAAATGGATTGTACTCAACTTCTTTCAACCCCAGCCAGCATGGACAGTAATAAGAAATGTTGAAATTAATATTCCAAAACATCTGGAAAGCACCAGGTTGGGTAAGGCTGATACCAAGGAAAAGGAGCATATTGCACACAGATATTATTGTTGGAGATCAGTTGTTTAATTTGACCTCTTTCACGAAAAGCATGCTCATTTTTGTTTCTTTACAGATCAGGAAGTGTCAAAGAAAATTGGTTTGAAATTGTTGACTTTGTGAAGCAACTGACGGACAGATTTGTGAGGTAGGTTGTTCTTGTGGTTTCCCAACTTAGCAAGGATGGGCAAGATTGCAAAGCAAGCCTTTTGGTGCTTATTCTTCAGTCATACACCACTTCTGAGGGATTTTGAGACACAGATGGTTTTGTTCAGATAAAGCGAGTGCAGAAGAACCAAACTATATTGGCAATGCAGCATGTTACTTCAGAAGCCTAGATCTGGTTCTGCTCCAACCTCATTCTTGTTTTGTTCCTAGTTTGTTTTGAGGTCCTGTGAAAATCCACATTTAATGACATAAGAGCCCTGCCAGGCCAGACCAAGGCTCCATCTAGCCCCAGCATTCTGTTCACCCTCTGGTCGGTCAGCTGCGCACAGAATTCCACAAGCCACAGCACCCTCCTGCCTTTGACCCCAGCGACTGGTGCATGCAGGCCTGCTGCTTCCGATACTGGAGGTGGCCTATAGCCATCAGGTCTAGTAGCCATTGACAGCCGCCTTCGCCATTAAGGTCTCCGGCTGCCTTTCTAAACCATCCAGCTTGGTGGCCATCCTTGACTTCCATCCTTGACTTCCATTGTTAATAGTGCATTGTGTGAATTGGGGCTTCCTTTGATCTGTTTGCAAACCCTGCCCCCAAATCAGCATCACTGGATGATCCCCTTTGGATTCTAATATTATAGGGGGGAGAGAGAGAGAAAGAGAGAGAGCCTCTCTGTCCACTTTCCTTTTGTACATTATGCTTCGTTTTGTATGCTTCTGCCAAGTCTCCCCACACTGACTCTTTTTATAAATGAAGCAGTCCTAGTGGTGAGCAGGCTGAAAAAGAAATGCAAACAATTGGACAATGAGTAATGACACCAGCATTTACTGTTAATGCATCTGTTGATGGTCATTAATAACAATACATTGGCTGCACAGAAAGTCGAAAGAAACATCCTGCATTTCTTTCCAGGGTCTTTCCTGTCACCTGCTACCTCTTTTTATAAACCGGAGGTTCCAGGGCTTGAAACTCAGACCTGTTGTCTTCAAAGAAAGAGCTCTACCTCTGAGCCGTGCTCTGTGTACAAATTCAAAAGCGTTCTGCTTGCAGGCCATGTGTTTTGCTGTTCATGGCACACATGCAGATTTCTTAGCCAGATTTCTACTTTGGTCTTTGCAGTATATTTGCAAGGATACCAAGCAAGATCCTTTACTGAAATTGAGAGTCGAGACAGGTTATACTTATTTCGAACTAAGTGCCATTGCACTAAGTGGGATTTACTTCCAGGTAAATCGCCTATTAGGCAGTAAAATGTCCAGAATTTTCGAAAAGGCACGGATGGGGACAAAATAGTTTTTCATGAGATGGAAAGGGAAAGTCCATATTTGATTGCTTATGTCATAAATATCTATCACTGAAAATGGAGAACAGTGCAGAAATCAAGTAGTCTGGGGGCAGAAAGGAATCCTTACGGGCTGAATGGCTCCCAGTGAGATGCAGGAGGGCCTCTCCTGGATTTTAGCACATGTGATCATTTTCTGGTTTTGGGGATCACTAAGAAACCCACAGTGATAAATACAACACACTGGGGGAATACTTGCACAAAACAGTAAGCCAGAAACAACAGTGCAGATGAGTTGCATGTGGGTATAAGCAGGGTTCCCCTCCTATCTTGGCCCTTTCTTCACGTCATGTTTCTTCACCAAGGATAACAATTATGTGCATGCAAGAGAACCAGACTTTGTAATCTATCAGCTAACCCTAGTTTAAAACTGGGGTATGATTCTGGGTGGTCTGGACACAGCCAAAATAGCAGTCTCCAGTGTCATGAGAAGCCATCTCCTTCCTGCTTAGTTTACCTGTTCTCAAGAAAGAAGGAGCAAATGCATTGCTTGGAAATGCATGCTGGCCATCCACACCTGGGCTGTTAAGCCACAGTCTGGGGGCTCTGAGTATCGTGTGAATACAGCCATTGCATCATTATTTATTTATTTGCAGTATTTTTTACCCTGCTCTTCCACCAAAAAAGACACCTAGGGAGCATTACACAGATTAATAATAAAGCAGACCATGCCCTTAAAGAAATCTAAAAGAAATGACACTGGAGGAAAAGGAAGAGAGGAAGAAGGAAACACTAAAGCTCACCCTGAAGTTCTAAATATATCTTAGGGAACATGGCTTACAAATTTCCTTTTAAAGCAGTAAATGTGACTTTCGTGAACAGACAACATAATATAAATTTGGAAGTGCTGTTTTGTTTAAAATCATTGTTTTAAATTCACTGTAATCTCACCAAGCGAGGTGTGCAAGTTGAATATTGGAAAAGGCACATGGGAAAAAGGAAAATTCAAATACATCATGCTTCCTGTTCTTCAGCTGCAATTTCCTGTTCTGCCTTTCATCACACCTAGGCCAGCTCTTCATTTGGGGATGTATCCAGAATGCTAAGAAATATGTAGTTTCATCCCATCTATCGAGACAAGTCCTGCAATATATATTATAGGACTGTATCTGTTGCCCACTGGGAATAAAATGTAGCTCATGTGGAAAGTATTGCTCTTATAATGCCTGATTTTGCAGTTTGGAAGATATAACTTTGGATACATACATTTGCTTGTAGATGTAAATATAATGTGTCAGTGCAAACAGCAAAGTTCATGTAGCACCAATATTGTATAGATTTCACATTGTTTGGTACCTTTTGTTCTGTTGGTAATACCTGCAGCCTGTTCATCTTGCATTGCACAAGGAAGGAATTTAGAACTTGGCACAGAATTTCGCAGTATTCAGTTTTTGTTTGGTAAAAAATGCACAAAAGCCCCTATGTGAGTTTTCAGGCAGTGCCAGCTGAAATGTTAGAAGCCATGGCTTTCAGTCCTGTGAAGCTCCTTGATTTTATTCATTCCCAGCAAAGGCTGGGACAATTTTGCAAGCTACGTCTTTCACAATCTGCCTGATTTGCACCATTTATTTATTTGCACAGCATAATTTTGCTGTTCCCAACATTGGTACAGAAATTGATTTTCCCCCCAGCATAGATTTTGCTCAGCTCTGGCTAAAGGCACCCCACTGGGAGCTCAGGAAGTAACTGCATAGATGTTACTGCGGTTAATTGTTTCCTATGGAAAATGCAATACAGTGAGCTATTGTGAGTTGGACCAGCTGCCAAAAAGTCATGTGAAATAGGCAGGCCGTGTGGCATATTGCTTGCATCTATCTTCCTAAAGTCAAGACAAGGTTTTCTTTAGAGCAAGCAGGGAAATCCAGTTGGAACTCTCCCTGCCACCCGCAGGGTAAGTTAATAAAAGATGATAATCATGTGTTTGAAAGAAGCCACGACGTCCGGACTCTCAGTTACTGGCAAAAGACGTGTTTGCCTCTTCCAGAAATGATCTGACTGGCCATTCCGAAGCCTTTTGGTCACCCTTCCTTTCCCCCACCCTTTCCTTTTTTTGTGGTGCTTTGTGTTGAATTGGCTGAAATAAGTGTGATTTGGCTGAACTGTGGGGTGAGCAGTACTTGGATGTTTGTTAAGGCTTTTCCCCCCTCCCCCTGCACCCTTTTCATAAGAGAAAGAGGGCTGTCTAATGGTTGACAAATGCTGTTCCGCACAGCATATGGTGAAAATGTAGAGCAGGTTTCATTATAAGAATTAGATCATTCCGGTATGAGTTGTGCATCTGTTTCCATTTTGCAGCATCTGAGAGATGCAGCTCTGCAGTAGCATCACAAAACATGTTTTCATTCTTTTGTAAGAGCCTTGGATTTATAGTGAGCCTTTTCTTAAAAAGGAAAAACTCCCATCTCCCCATTGGGATGGAATTTCTTGATGGTGGGAAAAAAGGACAGAAAAGTATTTGGCTATGATATTATCCATCTTTTTATTTTAAAAAAATCAGTTGAAGAAGCTGGTCTAAGTCAGGCAAGTCAAGTCAGAAAAAATAATTTCTTACTCTTCTTGGGCAGCACAATTCACTGAGGCATCCTGTAAGCCTTCCAGCTTGCAAAATTACTGTGGACCATCATCTCCCTGTTTCTTTTGCCCCGTGAGACACTTAAATAGTTGATTTTGATTGTCTAAATGTTTTGAGCCACAGCATGAAGAGAAGAGGCTGAAACTGCAAATGCTGTCATTGGTTGACTTTCCTCTCCCAACACCAAAATCACCTATAAACTGAGGTTGCTTTTAGAACCTTGCAGCTACAGCCGGCTCAGTTCTTTCACTGCCAGCTTCAAGGGTGGAGAAAAGGTGTCCTGAGTTCAGAGGCCCAGCTCTGAACTTGGGGCAGGTTTCTCAGGTCAAAGCCGCAACATCAGATAACCTCTTGTCCCTCTAGACTGTTTCCAGTAGCCATGGGAAACAGTGCCCACGTATACCTCTAGCATATAGTTGTGTAAATCATCAGGCTGTGATTCAGTGGCAGAGTCTCTTGTTTAAATACCAGCACCTCCAAGTATGGGTTCAACTCTGCCTTGAAGCCCTGGAGGTCTGTTCTGTGAAGTGCTGACAACATCAGGCTAGGTGGACTGATGGCTTGAGTCAGTATAAGTGGCTTCCTCTATTCTTAGGAAGAAGCAAATTTGGAGTCAAGTTATTGGGCTGTTCATCACTCAGTTATTATCAAGGAGCCTTCTCCAACTTGCTGCTCTCCAGATGTTGCTGCTTCTGTTACATGCCATCAAGTCATCTCTGTCTTGTGGCAATGCAAAGAATGGAAGCTCTCCAAAATATCCTGTCTGTGGATTCCTTTATGGAGTTGATCCATCTCATACTTGGTCTCCAGGTGTGCATTCCTCAGCATCCCCCCATAGGAAATGGAGAATTCTACTCTATCCCATCTGGAGGAGACGAGGTTGGGAAGGCTGTTGTCGAGCCCGAAAGACTTCACCGGTACAGCATCCAGCACCGCTGGGGAAAGATCTTAGCTGGAGACCCTTGGGCTAGCTTCTTCAGTCCTGTGAACTCGGGAGAGGATCACAGAAGGCAGACATGGGCAAAATAATGCTGGCTTCTATCCAGCAAGGAGCAGCAGTGCTTCTTAGGTTAGAGAAGGGCAGAGTGCACACTCTTGCCTGTTGGGATAAAGCCAGCTTCCCTGTGCCAGATGCTTTGGCGTACGGCTTCCTGGACATTGGCTGTGCTGGCTGGGGCTGATAGGGCCTGAAGCCCAACACTTCCAGAGGGCAGCGGGCTGGGGAAGGCGACTGTAACTTCGCTGGCATGGCTGGTCTCCCATGGCTCTTTCTTTCAGCCAGAAAGTGGGGAGGAGTGAGGAGTGTCCAGGCCCACTGCGGGCTTCTCATATGGACACAGTTAGCGCGAGTGAAACCAGCCATCCATCCTTCTGAAGTCTGGCCTTCAGCATAATGCTGAAATAGGGAATTGCCGAGCCGCCACATCCGGGACGCTGGATGCTTCCTGTGTGTGTTTTGTGTTGACTTGGCTTCTGTCGTGAGGGTCAAGGTGGAGAGATCCCCAGAGTCCAGCTGGGGCGTGGATCCTGTTGACACACGTGTGGGTGGTGTGTTTTGATTTATGTCTCTCAGATGGATGCTTTTCTTCTTTCCAAAGCCCCCGGACGAGATTATCCTTCATTGTGTTTTCCATGCAAGCGACGGTCATCCTGCCACTAACCCAAAACCCGTAAGTAAATTTTATTTATTTATTTATTTATTTATTTATTTATTTATTAAAACATTTTTATGCTGCCCCATTCGCCGAAGCCTTGGGGCGGCTTACAACAATTAGTTAAATAATTATAATTAAAAATATAAACATTAAAATAAAATACATACAATATAAAATAAGCCACCCTGGCCAGATAAAATTCAATAATATTAACATTTAAAATGCTGCTTAAATCTCTCCGTCCCTCCGTCTTCTCCCTCTCCCTCTCCAAGCTGGGATGCTCACCAGTACTTTTTAGCAACTTTTAGCAAGTATTAATACTCTGCCATTTACTGTTGAAGGGGAAATACCCTTAGACCTAAATCAGTGCCCACAGGGTGCCTTCCCCTCTCTGTATCTTCAGTGGAGGAGGAGTGTATGTGGGGGGTGAGGGACCTTACTTCAGGAGTAATCGCCATGCTGGATTGCTGATTTATGGAGAGTGTGGCCTCTGGTGATGCAGTCCCTCTGCTACCTCATTCGGTATAAGCCAAGCCTAGGCTACCTTCCTTACCAAGGTGCTGCGAGGATCCCTGGAATAATGTAGGTGAGCTTTTTGAATGCTCCAACGCCCCAGACCCTCCCAGTAGCATAGCAGAACTAACTGGAGATGCCCACGAATTCTTTGGGACTAAGTCACACGGGCCATGGCACGTGCCCCCAGATGTTTGATTACAAGTCCATTATAAGCATATCACACCAGTCCTGTATCAGCTGCACTGGCTGCCGATCGAAGACCGGGGCTGCTTCAGGGTGCTCATTTCAAGGTATAAAACCTTGCATAGTTTAGGACCTATCCATCCATGTAAGCCTCCCTGGACCCTAAGCTCTCCATTGAAGGTCCTGATTTGGGAGCCACCTTTAAAGGATGTTAGGAAGGCGCTATCCAGTGTTGGGCCTTTCAGTCGTGGTTCCCCTTTTGCAGAATCGGTTCCTCAGAGACGTGCACCAGGCACCTTTTTCTGTACCTGTTTCAGCACCTGGCAAATATTTTTTTTATTTCCAGAGTATTTTAACTGTTGATAGTCTTAATTTTAATTCTGATTTTAGGTTGTTATTTTAATTGATGAATTTTAAGATTTTAATTGTTATTTCTATATAAGATGTTGCCCATTCTGGTTATGGTATGAAATCAACACGGTTGGTGCACCTGCTGATGGAATGGATGTTTTTATTGGAATGGATGTTTTATTTATTGAATTGTTAATTTTGTTTCAATTTTTATGTTTTCTTTGGTTTTTAATTGTTGCAAACCCTCCAGAGAGCCATGTTTGCAAGGGTCTATAAAAGCCTGAAACTAACAAATAAATAAATAAATAAATGAGGGACTTCTTATTTAACAATAATTAAGTGGGATTGGGGTGGAAGGCAACAGGCATGCTAACAGCTAGGAATATAAATGTTCCTTTTCTGAAAGACAGAGGTGTGAGATTCTTGCACATATGTTGCACTGAGAAGAGATGTTCTATTTGTAACTGTTCGGTGCAGTCTCCAAGCTGCCATCAACTGATTTCTTTCCCTCCCTTTGTTCCAAGTGGGTTTCAGAATTGGCCTGTTACTGCAAGGTATCTCTTAAGAGTTGGTGCTTTGCTTTTACTTTAATGACGTGTCACCAACTGTGTAATGCCCTGCGGTTATTATTAAATACATTTTGGTGTGCAGACAGTTGGTCCTAGCAATTGAGATGGAATTCAGAACATGTGAATTTGGCAAAAGACCGTTAGGTCATGGTAACAAAAGAAAAAGGAGAGAGCAAGAAGAATAAAGATACTTTAGCCAAAGATTAACTTACTGTATTCCGGAGTGTTTACTGATTTGCTTAACCTAGTTGTCAAAAACTGAAGTTTTCTCACTGGCTGTCGGAAGTGGTAGTAAGCAATCCATTTGATTTCTGAGACTCCTTAGCCTGTCAGACATATTTTAAAAGCCACGAGGGCAATGCGCTTTTCTCCTTTTAGAAAATAAAAGCTGAGATTGTCAGGATGCAACAAGGTAACTCTGTGCACATCACCATCTTTCTGCACATGACCTGTGGTGCTGCATAGAGCCCTTGACATTGTTAGCGATGGCCTGGCTCACAAGGTTTAGCTTTGGGGTCCGGAGAACCTATTTTAGTTCTGAGTAACTCAGTCTTGTTGCATTCATGTCTCCTGCTTGTAGCCAAGCAGAGCAGCCCAATGCTTGGTGGGTTCCAGACTTTCATCACAGGAGAAAAATCCAGGATGCTTTGAGAACAGGTCCCCTTGGCTTTGTGCTCACCCAAGGCAAATGCAAGCAGACTGTAAGGATTTAGTAGGCAGAGTAGATTTTGAGGAATGCATCATTATTGACAAAGGAGTAACCGTAAAACAACAACAACAACTCTTGTAGCAGGTATGGAGGTCTCCGGGACTCTCATGTATGTGTTTCAGAGAGTCTTGGTTTGGATATTTGGAATCTGAATGCACTTTTGGGAAGATCACCCATTCCTTGCACTGCATATGCTTTAAGGCATGACTCCCATTCAGGTCGTTTTTGACTACACTTGCAGCAGAATCATTAGGAATCTTCTTGGCTTGAGCAATTGGCCTTTGAGACTGGGCTGAGTTTGGCCTGATTGTTTTCTTTTTGGCTTATTTGTTTTTCATTTGGTGTATTTCGGTTCAGTTTTCTTTTTGTTTCAATCACATGGCACCTTCAGGGACTTCTTTATTGTATTTATAGCTTTCCTTTTTTTCCTTTCAAGGAACTAAAGTAAGCTTACACAATTCTCCTCCGCCACTGCCTTCTCTTCCTCCTCCTCCTCCTCCCAGTCTTATGCTCACAACAACCCTGTGAGGTAGGTTGGGTTGAGAGCCTGTGACTGGCCCAAAGTCACCCAGTTGGCTCCATGACTGAACCCAGAGACTAGAACCCAGATCTCCTGCATCTCAGTCATATACTCTTAACAGCTGCATCACACTAGCAATCACTTTTCTGACGCCTGTTTTTGGTCATCCAAGGTGCCCTTTTGTATGAGTCCTAGTTGTGGTCACCCCCTGAGTAACAGGCATTCCCAGTGCTTGTTGTGTTTCAGGAAAGATCAGATTACCAAGCCCTGGGAACATTGCCAAGGACCCACCAGATGGGCATCTTTGTATTTCTGCTGCCCAAGTTGGGCTTTACAGGTTCTTCCCTCTGTTCTGAGCCATAGGCTGGTCCCATCATTGCTCTGCCTGACTTCAGCCCCATCCCTGGTGACTTAGACCCTGTTGTTGCTAGTCGCGAAGTCGTGTCCGACCCATCGCGACCCCATGGACAACATTCCTCCAGGCCTTCCTGTCCTCCACCATCCCCTGGAGTCCACTCAAGCTCACACCAACTGCTTCAGTGACTCCATCCAGCCACCTCATCCTCTGCCGTTCCCTTCTCCTTTTGCCATCAATTGTTCCCAGCATTAGGCTCTTCTCCAGGGAGTCCTTCCTTCTCATTAGACGTCCAAAGTATTTGAGTTTCATCTTCAGGATCTGGCCTTCTAAAGAGCAGTCAGGGTTGATCTCCTCTTGCCTCCAAACCGATTGCAAGAATATAAGAACATATGTTCTTACTGCAGATGCAATTTTTTAAAAAAATTGTTATTGTCTGTTATACCTCTTATGGTTTCCAGTGCATACCACTTTGGTCTCCATGGGGAGAAAGAGCAGGATATAAAATACTTCAGATAAATAAATAAACAGAAAGATTTCTGTGCTGGCTCAGACCACAGAAGTATTTAGCTCAGCATTCTGTCCCCACAAAGGGCAACCAAAGGCTCATGGGAAGTCCACGAGCAGGTCAAGACACTGCCTGACAAGGGGGCCATCAAGATCAGTAACCCCTAAGAGCTTTTCCTCCACAAACGTGTCTGTCCCCCTTTTCAAGCCACCCAAGTCATTGCCCATCACTCCATCTTATGGTTGAGAATTCCACAGTTTAGCAATATGTTGGGTGTGGAAATATTTCCTTTTGTCTGTCCTAAGTCTCCCACCATTCATTTTCACAAGACGATCCATGGGCTTCTGCGTTCATGAGAGAGGGAGAGAAAGGACAGGTTGCTTACCCCTTAAGCGTGGTTCTTTGAGTGGGTGGCTACTGACAGGTGTGGGTTCTCAGCCAACAGAACTCCTCCTTTGGAGTAATCAGGAGTGGAATGGAACGGTGGCTGGAGACCATCTTCCCCAGCCAGTGCACCCATTTAACTGGCATGGCTCCTGCCCAGGCTCCTTGGACAATTGCAACAGGGCAGTTTTCGGCAGGATGATGGCACTTCAAGGATGAGCCCCATCGTGTAATGAGAATGCCACATGCACTTTCCTCTCTGACGTCGGGTGCTGCCTGATTCAGCAGGGGAACATGTGAGAGGAGCGAAGGAAGCACCCTGCCCGCTGCTGGAGGAAGGCACACCCTGGGGAAGCGGGGGAATTCCAGCCCTGCAGCTGCACTGGGTCCACTGCCCGTTGCCCTGGGAGGCAAAGAGGATGCTCTGCCTGCTCCCCAGTGTGCCAGGCACCAGTTAAACATCCATTCTGTGGAGAAGGAAGTCAGAATGGTGGAAAGCTGCAACGAGGAACCCTCATAACCCTTCCTCCCTCTGCCTGGTTCTGGCCAGCATCTTCCACCCTTTATCTTCCATCTTCCATCATCAGGCAAGCAGATGGTAGCTTTCTTTCTCTCGCTGCATAAGCAACATCTTTTCCTCTTTTTTCTTATTTGTTGGGTCCCATAATGGAAGGAGGTCTGGAGATGTCAGCTGGGAACCCGCCACAGTGTTGATGTGAATGGCTGTCCGGGTGATGAAGCACTGACTGTACCAGCTTCACAGGTGCCATGTTGGGCTGAGCAGGTACCTGGGCAAGAAGGTGGCGGTCACTTTCGTCATGGCCCCTTGTACCCCATGGCTTTCCAGGGTAGTTTTGAAGGTGCCAGTGCCTTGGTCACAGCCAGAAACTTGAGCATGGGTGTGCAAGTGTGGCGGAGAGACATTCTGCAGCCAGCCAGGTGTGTGCGCTCGGGGGCAATTGCTGTACCCTCCCTACCCCACGGTAGAGGTGTGTGTGCGTTAGGACTAGCTGCAGTGGCCAAGGTATATAAAAGGAATGGTGCTCAACACATTCCACCACCACAGGATGAGTTGGATGGGCTCTGCAGCTTGCAAATGGGTATTTCTGTGTTGAGAGGAAAAGGTACTGATGAACCAGTGCTGGAGTTGTGTGTCCAAGGATGGGTGAAGAGGGTGTCTGCTGTGGTACCAGACTGGAGTTCTAGCACATATGAGATGTGTAGAGCCGTAGCATGTTTCACACTTCTGGCTGGGGTGCTTGCTCTGCAGAAGGAGGATACACCAGGTAGAGATGTTGGAATGAGTAGACCTGAGGAGCCATGAGCTGAAACTCAGTCTGTCACCAGCCTGGTGCTCCAGAGCCAGGGTGCAGAATCTTCTTTAGCCCAGGGTCTGAATTCAGTTTTCGAGATGCTCTTGGGGATAACTTTCCAGTGGTGTTCAGGGCCAAGGGCAAAATGGCGCATGGCAAAAATACTAGAAATACCTCAAATGCCAGCATAGTTTAAAGCTTTTCCAGGAATGAAGCCTTGGGAGATACAAATCAACCTTTTAGATGGTGGATGAGGAGGGACCTGTGCAAAACCAGGAAACCACCAAACAATCCATGGCCAGGGGAAGTGGTGTGGCTTTCTGAAGAAGGCTGGCACACTAGATTGGGATCCCAGGCAGACTGAATTTAGCCTACAGGGCTGAGGTCCCATGCCCCTGTTCTAGATAATGTGAGAGGAGCAACCAGGCTGAACCGTGGTCTTTTGAGTTGGTGGAGAACTTGCATATGTAACTCTCTCTGTCCCCTTGTTCTGCTTCCTCCACCTCTCTCTCTCTAGCAACATCTCCCATCCTTTACTTTATCTTGTTCCATCATACTAGTGGGCAGATGGTAACTTTCTCTCTCTTGCTGCGGAAGCAAATTTTTCTTCATCTTTTTTCTTATTCGTCGGGCCCCGTGGTGGAAATAGGTCTGGAGATGTCAGGGATCGCTGGAAGGTCTTGGTTGTATGCTGGATAAATAAAACTGAACTGATTGCATGCGAGCTATTTTTTGCACCACGAAATCTGTTTCAGAAAACTGGAACTCGATTTGTCGTTTGTTTCTTGGCAGCAGAACTGCCGGAGCCTGTGGACAGGCTGCCACTCATGGCTGGCAAGCACAGAGTGTCTGCTTTGTAATCTGCATTCGTACATAATCAGTTTCAAGTTGTTTTCAATAGACGCCGAGTGTAAAATATTTTGGATTAAACAGATTGCATTGACTTTACGTAACTCACTCAGCTGCCATCTATAGCACACAGCATGTCGTCCGTTGCAAAAGGACCGCCAGCGTGGATATAGATTGCTTTCTGCTAGTTTTCCTAATCCACCTTTCAAATGTGGGGAGTGTGGTGGAAGGCAAATTACGAGGGTTTTGTCCACTCTCACTTTGCAAACAGAACTTTTGCAATGGCAATACAAATAAATAAATACCGTTCTGAAGACGTGTATATTAATTCTGTCAGTTCTTCCAGCTTTGCCTTTTGATGGGCACTAGTTTGATAATCTTTTGCTTTACTTTTCTCTTATCCTTAGAGGAGAAATTAAGAAAGGCCTTGAGAAGTTAGGAAATGTTTCTCCAGGAGGTGAAACGTATATGCATGAAGGATTAAAAGAAGTAAGTCACTTTCCATACTCTTTTAATTAAACTGGCTCTAAAAAGCACCTCACCCTCTTGGATCCTTTGTGACGGGGTAATATTTATATCTTTGGCACATGTGCAGCTATTTCATGGTCCTAATTCACAGCCTCTCTGCATCTGCTTTATACCAAAAACAGCTGGGCAAAGACACAAATAATGTCATGTCTGCTTTTGGCCCCAGTTTGATGGACCCTCGGTTCATCAGAAATAATCAGTCATTTTTACTGTCTGCATCTCTTCCCTGATACCTTTATTCTCCCACAACCGTCCTGCCCCTCTAGTGCGATTGGGATATCATGCATACTTTGCTTTTCAGGCAAATAACCAAATCCAGAATGCAGGGGGCTCGAAGTCAAATAGCATCATCATTGCTCTGACAGATGGGAAGTTGGAAGGCCTGATACCGCAGTATGCAAAGAAAGAGGTGAGTGCCACATCGAGTCGGCGCTCCTGCCGCTTTCAGTGCTTGCCCTGTGCGCCACATTCTAGCCGATGCCCAACTATGCTTTCCTCTCGTTCTCTCTGGAACAGGCAGATCTGGCCAGGAATCTGGGAGCACGGGTTTACTGTGTTGGAGTGCTCAATTTTAACCAAGAGCAGGTAAGGGAACAATCTTTTCGATGTTCCTTATTTATTTCATTTGTACCCTGTTTTTCCCTCAAGAAAGCCGTGTTCAAGGCGGAAGTAAGAAGTACGCATGCAAAACACCACACCACCTTACAGGAGCTTTTGATCTGTAAAAACAAATCAAGAAGCAAGACACAGTTGTGATATTAATTAAGGATATTGTTAGTTTGGGATCCAAGAAAGGAACTCGAACGCCCGTTGCACTGTTATGTGTGCTGTATTCCATTCCTGTGGTTTCCATGGCTGAGAAGACAAACTGCTTTCAAGCTGCCTTTTGCCTGTTCTGCAGTGATGACCGATGTAATGATCTCACAAAACTGGGCTCCGTCTGCTTCTTGATTGTCCCCTGGGAGTGCATTTCACTGTTTTGGATCCTTACTATAAAAACTTTGTGTGTCAGCCTTTCCTATCCTGCTGCCTTCCAGATGTATCAGGCTGGAACACCCCTGGCTGTTGGCCATGCTGGCTGGAAAACTGGGGTGTTGTACTCCAACACATCTGCAGGGCACTAGGTTAGGGAGAGCTGGGGTGTGTGTAGGGGTGTGTGTGTGTGTGTAACGGCTGCTGGTACAGTCTGTATCACTCTGCAAGAAATCTTTGTGTTTCCTTCCCTAGTTGGAAAGTATAGCTGATTCAAAAGAGCAAGTCTTCCCAGTGAAGGAAGGATTCCAAGCACTCCGAGGGATAATTAATTCTGTGAGTACTCCCAAAAGCATGTATCTTGCTTAACTTTTAAGGGTAGGAGGTTTGGACTTTTAAGAAATGTCTGCTTTTGTGATTCCAGCCCTTTACATTTGTGACATGTTACCAGGCCGTTGTCTAGTGAGCGAACCTCTTCTCCAGGTCCACGTTCTTGAGCAAGGGTTCAATCCCACGTGTGGACTCTCATTTGGAGACTGGAGGAGAGCTTCCTTTTGACCTGCTGCTCAGCTTTGGCTCCTGCAGAAGCATTCTCTGGTGGGCTCCAGAGCTCAGTGTTCCTGTTGAACTTCCTCATGCCCAGGTGGGAAGAAGTGAAGGCAGGTTGCAGGTAGAGACAGTGCATCGAACTTGCTGCCTTTGTTTTCCACATTCTGCTGCGTGAGATGATAGATGGGCTCCGTTTTCTCCGCCAGAGCTTGAGGGCTTGATCTCAGTTGCAGATCGTGGTAGCGAGCTGTGTGAAAATGCATGGCCCCATGGGCACGGGCATGGGACCAGCTCCCATGATCCCAGTGCATTGGACTGCAATACCCATAATTCCCTGGATCCTCTATCATATCTGGAGGGAAGGGAAGGCTGGTGTAGAACTTCTTCCTGAAACGCAATTGATTGGTACTTCATGACACTGTTCCTGACTTTGTGTGAGCTGGCTGAGTGGTAAAAAAGAAAGTATAGTTGTTCAAATGAAAACTAAACTTGTGGGTATGTGTGTGTATGTGTGTGTGCATGCAAATTGAGATAACTGTAGCACCTCAATTTAAATGTGAGCTACACCCTGCAAACAGGAGAGCTGGCATTTATATCTATCTATTATAGGAAATCTATTTTGGAGGAAAAACATATGGATAGTGTTTAATTCCTAAAACAGACTCTTTAAATGAAGCTCCACTTTGCTGCTTGGTGAAGTCTTTGGTTTACAGATGGCAAGCTGAGCAAATGCTTGAGTGTTCTCTGCGCTGGAAATACTGAGTATTTCTTTGCTTAAAGAAAATCTTTGCTGTGCTGAAAGTTTTTGATTTTTATTTTGGTTTTCATATATTCCTGGCTGCATGTACTGCAGTGCTGAAGAAAGAGATTCTGCAGCAAGGAAGGCTGAATTCTGAAACAAATTAAAATGCATGCAAAACAAGCAGGGTTTTTTTTTTTGTTTGTTTTTTGGCATCTGCTCAGCTGCAGAATGGCAATGGTGTGTGTGTGTGTGTGTGTGAGAGAGAGAGAGAGAGAGAGAAAGAGAGAGAGAGAGAGAGAGAGAGAGAGAGAGAGAGAGAGAGAGAGAGAATGAGAGAGAGAGAGAGAAGGGATTTGAAATGTCAGTGAGGAGAGTTAAGGAGTTTGCACATGACCAGTCAGCCACTCTATCATGGGATTGCTTCATTCCAGGGGTGTGCAGAACCAAAGGCAAACAGGATGAGATAAGGCCAAAAATATCCCAGATTCTAGTATCTGTTAGCTTAAAAGCTCCCACTGCCACTAACCAAGCTTTAGGAGAGGCGTGTTAGCTTTGTAGAATTGGGGGGAAATGGCATGAAAACTTGGAAATCTTCCAATGGTTTGTTGTCAGGGAAAAGGTATGTGGCTACCTGGGAGCTCTGGAGATCTGGATTGGGCTGCCGCTCCTGTTTTCAGTCCCTGCAGAAGAGTAAAATTTACGCTTTCTTGTCCAAAGATGGGTCAGTACTTGCCGAATCGTACCTGACTAGTTAGGCTTAGATGACCTCTTCTCTTTTCTCCGGCTCCATTCCCTCCTCGTGCAAAATGGCGGATAGTCATACAGACTTGCTTGACTTAGTGAGCTGTGAGCATTTCCCCAGATAAGGCATCTGAGATACTTTGAACTCTAGAAAGCACTATAAAAACATGAAGGATTATTTGGTGAGGTGTGTGAGTTCAGACATTCTGGAACCTTATAAGGAACTTTGTGATGGCCAGTTGTAGGTTTCCGTCTTTATTTAATGAGTCATTGGACTGTTTGAGGACAAGGTTCAGTACATACAGTGTTGCTTGATAGTGAGAGAGTTGCTTTGTTTTACCCAGGGTTTTCTGCTCTGAGTAGAAAACAAGTCTCTGAAGCTCACCGGAAGCTGGGCTGCCTCTTCATCGCCTTGGAATCAGGTGTTCCTGGAGCAAAGCCAGTGGGCATTTTTCTCTGGACTTTGGGCCTTTCTTGTACACTCCCTGGCTAAGATCCTGTGTCCAGGTCTGGGCACCTAAGTTTTAAAATGATTCAGAAAAGCTAGAAAGGGTACAGAGGAGGGCAACGAGGATGATTCAGGGTCTGGAGCAAAGCCCTGTGAGGTGAGATTGAGAGAATGGGGCATGTTTAGCTTCAAGAAGAGAAGACTGAGGGGAGATATGATAGCACTCTACAAGTACCTGAAAGGCTGTCACAAAAAGGAAGGACAAGGAAGGGCTTCTGGTTCATTCCAGAGAGCAGGGCACGGAATAATGGACTTAAGTTAAAAGAAACCAGATTTAGACTAGTCACCAGAAGGAATTTCCTCACAGTCAGAGCAGTACAGCAAAGGAACCTATTGCCTGGGGAAGTTGTGGGGTTTCCCACACTGGAGACATCCAAAAAGGATTTGGACATTCATCTAAATGCGATGGTGTAGCTTAGTGTCCTGCAATAGCAGGGGGTTGAACCTGATGACCTTCTGGGCCCTTCCAACTATTCCGACTGCTACTGAATGATTCGAAGGTGCTTGCTAAGGTGTGTCCATCACCTGAGATGCCAGCAATTTGGGGTTCTGGTTGGCTGGGACTTTCTACATCATGCATGCTGAATTGCAAACATGGGGGTCAAAACTGTCTTTCTGGGATCCCAAACTGACCTGCTTGGCTTCCCCAGATAGACAGCCCCCCTCCCTCTATCACTTCCTGTTCATTGTTTGGTAATCCAAATGCTTTGGGGCAGTCCTCCCACCATAGTATAAGGTTGAAATGCCTCTTCTAAGGTTGAGCTACTGACAGTAAGGGATTTATGCTAAAATATGCTGGCATTTGTATTTGTTTGGTATCACACCTTTTGCCTCTGGCCTTGCCCTTTCTTGGAATGCGGCCCTCAGTTGTCTCTCTGAAGCTGAATTTGCCCTCAGTCTGGAAGTGGCTTCATACTCCTGTCCTATCGGTAAAGCATCTGCACTGCCATTTTGAGAAGGGGCTTCTCGCCACAACATTCCAGTTTCTCCCTCCATCTTCCTCTACCCCCACACTTTTGCATTCTTTAAACGTGCAAGTCAGCTCAACAAATCTTCAGGCCAGTATGGATGCTACCTGAAAAGTCCAGTTCAGCCTTACCTGCCTTATCATTCTGCAGAGGTCCTATGTGCAAGACAGACAGACAGACCTATAATTGTAGGTTAAAATTATGTGGTTCTTTCCCAGATTAAAACATTTAGGAAGCAACAGTCTTTGCACATAAGATTTTGAGCATATAAGGCTGCAGGTTGCATTCATGTGGAGCTGAAACAGCTGTATTTTTGTGGAAGATGTTCCATGTGCCTTCACAAGAGATAGTTGCATAAGAAAAGCAATGAGTTGGCCAAGCAGTTGGTAGCTTGGCTGTCTAGTTGTTTAGGTCTACAGTTCCTGTGATCCTTCGCCCTTGGCTATGGTGGCACGGCTCATGGGAACTGAAGGTCAAAACATCTGGAGCGTGACAAGTGGCCATCAGTGAGATAGATGGTGAAATGGAATTGGTTACAGTCACTCCTTGTAAAAGGGTGTTCTTCAGTCTACAAGAACCGAGCAGGGCTGTCATGGGGGTCACCAGAGTCAGAGATGATTTGACAGCACAGAACAACAGAAATGTAGAGCCGACACTCACTCATATCTTCTTATGTGGTTGACTTGTTGAGTGGATGTGCTTATCCCCCAGTTGCTGGGAAATAGCAAAAGCAGTCCAGCAGGTGGCTGGAGAGTTTGGGCAATGGACAAGAAGGAGCTCAGGAGATGGGAAACTGAGGCATGGTGGCAGTGGCTGGAATGTGGTGGCTTGGACCAGCATGTGCCAGTTTGCTTTGGCCAGTGGATCAGTCCGAGTGGCTTGAGGCTTGCGTGGGTATGCTGGACACATGTTCTTGGGGTCTGGAAGACCCTCTTGACTCCTTCCAGCATTCTGCAGAGAGCTGGCAGTGCAGTCCTAGGCACTGAGGGGAATCCTACTGAACTCTGTGGGACTTTGGCCACAGGTAGTCCCAGTTTGGTAACAGGCTTCTGTGGCTTGATTTCCATCATGGATCTAGTAGAGGGGGATGGGAGTTGTGGGCTGGGGAAGCTGAAATCATCTTCACTGGCATTGTTTACATGCTGGCAAGTCTGCTTTCCTCAAATTAGCATTGGTTCCTTAGCTTTGAAAAACAGACACCTAAAGTTTTGATGAAGGGGGACCAGCAGAGCAGCCAGAATGTGGCTGCTATGAAAATATTGCATTATGTAGAATACTTAAACAATGCTCAACACGTATGTACAATTCTTTGCTGCTACAGCTTGGCTGCCAAGGAACTTTTGCAATCTTTTCTGGTGTTGTTAACGTCTCCCAACTTTATGAAAGATTTAAATGAACACAGACTTGTCAAAATAAATAAATCCAAGTGGAACATTGAGTGGCTTAAGAAGAAATGCTGAAGGCAACTTAGTTATCCAATCAGTAATGGTTTACTGATCTGGTTTGGCTGATAATTATCTGGAAGTATGGCTTCACGAGCAAGCGGAATAAATGCTTTGGCAATGTAAAATTTCAGGGCTTGCAAGTGTATAAGTTTCTCTCCCACACAGCAGGATTTTAATGCAGATATTAGCCTCTTTTAGAAGAGCTACTTGGGTGGAAATAAAAAAATGATGCTTGGTTAGAAGTGACTTAGCGAGGAAAGGCAGGCAGAATTCTTAGCCTTGCAGAGAAATGCTCTTCTTGTATGTATACTGGACCTGTGCCAGACCTGGAAGTATTAGCAGCTTGTTTGCCTGTTTAGGCTTCGTTGGAATGATCAAAGCCA